ATATTAAATTCAAGTCAATCTGGTTCTTAGATCGAACTTGTGCTTTGAAATGATGGCACTGTCACACGAAATTCGAAGCAGTCTATCGCTATTAAATTTCTTGTATTTCAAGTCTATCATAGAATCGGTTTTTCTGCAACGCTTAAATTCAAACTTTATGAGAAATTTAAATGTTGATTCGATTGCTTTCCTATATTGGATTAGCTCAATATTTTAGCATTTCCGATTGATTTGTTGTGTGCGACAAAGTATCTGATTATTGCATTTGCAAACTATAATTTTATAATCATTAAAAGAAATTATTATCGCATGAATGAAAACCAGGTTCTTCCCAAAATAATTAACAAACGATAGACACGTGTTGGAAATTGAAGTAAGCTTACAGCAAAAATAATAATTAAACTGACGAGCCTATGCATAGTTGAACTTACAGGTTAATCTGTAAACACTCAAGGGAAAACTTGATTTAACTCAGTCCTTAATTTTTCCACAGAGTACTTAGGATGGAGCTGAGTTTTCATTGATTACATCTTTACAGTTTCAAGCCAAGAATGCCACGTTGCGTTGCCTAGAGAGACCAAGACGAGCTCTGCGATTCAATGTTATGACTTTGGGCGATAACAATAAGCCGGCATTGCTGTTGGCTTTTAATTCTAAGCCATTCTCTTCTCGATTTAACAATAATTCACATGCAAACGGAAATAATTATACAATTTTACAAAACAACCCAGCGAGGTCTGTAGAGGCTCAATGGGCTGCATTGGGGGCCCTTAAAAAATGTTGAATCATGCGACTGATTGCAGATACGTCGAGGCATAAGCCACGATCACTTGCAATCTACTAGCCAGGCACTCAGAATTTGCTGAGAGATCTATTAATACCACATAATATTAATGACGTGCCGGAAATTGCTCAGGCGAGCCATTAAGCCTCATATACCCCTATAAGTTATTTTCTGCCTAAAATAGTCCCTACCGATAACAATGTAATCTATATACAGCCATTTCTGTCTAGCTCACATAACTTGTTTCTTGTTTTTTTTTTTTTTTTTTTGTTTCGACACTTAAAGTGTGCCAGATTTCGGGTTCTCGTGTCGGATATAAGTTCAATATCGTTAATCGCTCAAAATTATCAGATATCATCAAAACTAGATTTCGTTGAATGACATTTCTTAATATCGCTTCACCGATCTTATTCCATTCACTAAGCACGACCTTTATTTCTGTGTTTTTTCTCACTGAAGTCGATAATTAGATCAGCCTTGATTAATTCTCATGATTTAAATACTGTTGAAATAAATGATCAAATTTTATGATCTTGATTGGTCATTCGATCATGCTATTAAGAGAATCAATTGAATTGTATTCCTTAAGCTTGTGCAGACTTTTGTCAAGCGTTTCAGGCCAACTCTTGATATTCCATTATTGCCACAAGTGCACAGTGTATTAACTGTATAAATCATGCTCTGAACTGTCTCTTGGCGTACCATCTCTATGAAATTGCGTACTTAACTTTTTAGCCCCGCACAGCGTGCGACTCTAACCTATTCTCAACCCGAAGTCAACGTCTCGATGCAATTAAAACATGCGCTCGCGTATGTATGCGATTACCAAGTATTAAGTATGAAATTTCCTTTCATCTTTCATCTATTGTCGAACTAATTGTCGATTCAGTAGCTCGCTGTCAGCGCGACTCTCCGGTTGATTATGCAGACCCGCCTGCTCTGTTTACTGTACCTGGGCGCAGCGGCTGCCCAGAGCTACTTGGGCAATGCCCTGCTCGATGGCCTTGAGCTGCTGCGACGTGGCCAAAGGCAAATGGATCTCGAGGCTTCTGATCACCGCGATCAGCTGCTCCGTGAGTACGATTTCATAGTCGTGGGCGCTGGCACCGCCGGCTGTGCACTGGCCGCACGCCTCTCCGAGAATCCCAACTGGCAAGTCCTGCTCCTGGAAGCGGGCGGACCGGAAAACTACATCATGGACATGCCCATTATGGCGCACTATTTGCAGCTGGGCGAGATGAACTGGAAGTATCGCACGCAGCCCTCCAACAGCTACTGCCTGGCGATGAACAACAATCGCTGCAACTGGCCGCGTGGCAAAGTCATGGGGGGCAGCTCCGTTCTGAATTACATGATGTATACAAGGGGCAATCGCCGGGACTACGATCGTTGGGAGGCACTGGGCAATCCTGGCTGGGGCTACGATGAGGTACTGCCATACTTTCGCAAATACGAGGGCTCGCTCATACCAGATGCGGACTCGGGCAATGCGCGGCATGGCCGAAAGGGGCCCGTCAAGATCAGCTACTCCGACTATCACACGCCAATTGCCGCGGCCTTTGTGGAGGCCTCGCAGCAGGCGGGCCAGACGCGCCGGGACTACAATGGGCAGGATCAGCTTGGCGTCTCCTACCTGCAGGCCAACATTGGTAACGGCACGCGCTGGAGCTCCAATCGAGCCTATCTCTACCCCCTCAAGGGCAAGCGACGGAACCTGCACATCAAGAAGAACGCGCTGGTGACCAAGGTGCTCATCGATCCGCAAACAAAGACCGCATATGGCATCATGGTGCAGACCGATGGACGCATGCAGAAGGTGTTGGCCCGCAAGGAGGTGATTGTCTCGGCGGGCGCCATCAACACGCCCCAGCTGCTGATGCTTTCCGGTCTGGGGCCCGCCAAGCATCTGCGCGAGGTGGGCATCAAGCCCATTGCGGATCTGGCCGTGGGCTTCAATCTACAGGATCATGTAGCGCCGGCGATTACCTTTCGGTGCAATATCAGCACGTTGAAGTTAGACAAAGTCCTAAACACCGATACGATAGGCAGTTTTCTGCGTGGTGACGGTCCACTGCGAAGTCCTGGCGGAGTGGAAGCCATATCTTTTTATGCTCTGGATGCCACAGAAGATACCAAAGACTGGGCGGACATGGAACTGTTCGTTACGGGCAGCGGCATACATTGGAATCCGGCACTGCGACGGGTCTTCGGCATCCGGGCGGACGTCTTTGAAGCTGTCTTTGGCGAACTGGAGCGCACCAATGGCAATGCCTTCATGATCTTTCCAATGCTACTGCGTGCCAAGAGTCGCGGCCGCATTAGACTCAAGAGTCGCAATCCACTGCAGCATCCACTGATCGACGCCAACTACTTTGCACACCCTTACGATCTCAATATATCAGTCCACGGCATACGACAGGCGATCAGCCTAATGGATCAGCCAGCATTTCGTGCGATCAACGCCCGAGTGCTGGAGACGAAGCTGCCCGCCTGCCGCCACCACGGCCCCCAGACCGATGCCTACTGGGCGTGCTATGCGCGTCATTTCACCTTCACGATCTACCACTATTCTGGCACGGCCAAGATGGGACCCCGCAGCGATCCCAGCGCCGTGGTGGACGCACGCCTGCGCGTCCATGGCATCAGCAATCTGCGAGTGGTGGATGCCAGCATAATGCCCTATCTAGTTGCCGGTCATCCCAATGGGCCAGTCTTTTTAATAGCCGAGAAAGCCGCTGACATGATCAAACAGGATCACAACTATACCTAGGAACTAGATAATAGATATATATATATACCAAAGTCGTGCTCGCAATGCTTGTTCAAGGGACGAATTATAAAGGAAATTAGGCAAAGTCTTGGGAAATTTGTGATATTAGACAACGTTTGTTAAAACAAAAAGTTGTTACATTTATAAGGGTTAACTAATAAATAAAATAAATGATTAAAGTCATATATATAAAGTCATAGCTGCTGTGCTCAGTGTTTAATCATTGAAAAGATCCATAAAGCTGATAAACTGAGGAATGAGCAGGAAAATTGCCTCAAGCATAAACCGTAAAGCATCGTAAAACTGATGTGAGGTAGCCTCAGCGATCGCCCAACTACAAATTGCTCAATAAAGGGAACGATGAACAAAAATCAATTAATCGAAGCCAAAAAATCAATTCTGATAAAATATCATACCATATAGGTGATCTTGGCTCTGCTCTTGTCTTGTCTTGTCTTGATCAACCAGACAGATTTATGTTTTGCTGTTCGATGGGTTGACATATTATTGGTAATAAAAATGAATTGAACGCGTGCTGGACGCCCTTCCGCATTGATCGGCCGCGCAACAGAATATTGATCTCTGAGCGAGACTATCGATGATCGCTTGGGCCCTAGATTGCCCTTTGGTCGCCTGCAAAGTGCAGAGCTTTTCGCAGCTTCCGCAATTTGGTCAATGGTCGGAGCTGATGCTGTGTGATCATGTGAACGATCAGCTCAAGTCAATGTCAGTGCGTTCGCTCAAATCTGGCTTTCAATTTGATTTTGTGAACGTGTCGACAGTCATGGCAATGCTGTGGCTATGCTGCGGCTGCTGCTGCTGCTGCTGCTACTGCTACTGCTGCGGCTGCGGCTATGCTGCTGCTAGTTTCTACTCTGAAGATTCTTGGCAGTTATTGTTGACGCTAAAACAACGAGCGCGGAGCCGATCGTGCAGCCGCTGCCGAAAAAGATTCGCAAACACGATTCGGCCGCAACGGCGGCGCTTATATTTAATATTAAATTGAACTTGGCCAGAGCGATTGCCAGCATTACCAGTTAAGCCTCCGATTGGGCAAGACGAACTAACGGCACGGGCCACGCATGCGCGCACAGTCCGCACTCTGAAGGCGAACACGCACGAACACGTCTTAGAACCAATCAAGAACTAAAAACAAACTCTGTTCTCTTTTAAATTTGATTTTTTTTACAATTTTTTATTTGTACAAACTTATTGAAAAGTGCAAGTGAAGTGCTATCTAAGAACATGGCCAAAATGAATCATTGCCAAGTACTGCTGTGGCTGCTGGCTGGCCTAGCTCTGGCTGCTGCCCAGAGCGAAAATGTGATACTGGAGACTCTGAATTTTCTGCGACGCGGCCAAACGGAAGTGGACCTGGAGAACTATGACAACACCATACAAATGGGCGCCGAATATGATTTTATAGTCGTCGGCGCTGGCACCGCCGGCTGTGCACTGGCCGCACGCCTCTCCGAGAACCCAAAGTGGAACGTGCTGCTGCTGGAGGCGGGCGGACCGGAGCGCCTGGTCATGGACGTACCAATTGTGGCGCACTTTCTGCAGCTGGGCGAGATGAACTGGAAGTATCGCACACAGCCATCGGATCACGCCTGCCTGGCGATGAACAACAATCGCTGCAACTGGCCGCGTGGCAAAGTCATGGGTGGCAGCTCCGTTCTGAATTACATGATGTATACAAGGGGCAATCGCCGGGACTACGATCGTTGGGAGGAGCTGGGCAATCCTGGCTGGGGCTGGAAGGATGTGCTGCCGTATTTCAAGAAATACGAGGGCAGCAGCGTACCAGATGCCGAGGAAGACATGGTCGGACGCGATGGCCCAGTGAAAATTAGCTATGTGAACTGGCGCTCCAAGATTTCGAAGGCCTTTGTTGAGGCGGCGCAGCAGGATGGCTTGAAATACCGCGACTACAATGGACGTATACAGAACGGTGTCGCCTTCCTGCACACGACCACACGCAACTCTACGCGCTGGAGCTCCAATCGCTCGTACCTTTACCCCATCAAGGGCAAACGCCCCAATCTGCATGTGAAGAAGAACGCGCTGGTGACCAAGGTGCTCATCGATCCGCAAACAAAGACCGCATATGGCATCATGGTGCAGACCGATGGACGCATGCAGAAGGTGTTGGCCCGCAAGGAGGTGATTGTCTCGGGTACGGCGCATACAGAACGGTGTCGCCTTCCTGCACACGACCACACGCAACTCTACGCGCTGGAGCTCCAATCGCTCGTACCTTTACCCCATCAAGGGCAAACGCCCCAATCTGCATGTGAAGAAGAACGCGCTGGTGACCAAGGTGCTCATCGATCCGCAAACAAAGACCGCATATGGCATCATGGTGCAGACSGATGGACGCATGCAGAAGGTGTTGGCCCGCAAGGAGGTGATTGTCTCGGCGGGCGCCATCAACACGCCCCAGCTGCTGATGCTCTCGGGTGTCGGTCCCGCCAAGCACCTGCGCGAGGTGGGCATCAAGCCCATTGCAGATCTGGCTGTGGGCTACAATCTGCAGGACCATACAGCGCCGGCGGTTACCTTCACAACGAACGTAACATCGCTGAAATTCGAGGACTTTGCCGATCCCACATGGCTGACGCGCTTCAACCGTAGAGAGGGGCCGTACGGTTCGCCCGGTGGCTGTGAAGCCATAGCCTTCTGGGATCTGGATCATGAGAGCGACGAGGATGGCTGGCCAGATATTGAGCTGTTTATGGTCGGCGGCTCCATGTCCTCCAACCCAGCCATATCACGTGCCTTTGGCCTAAAGAAGTCCATTTACGATGCGTTGTTCGCCGAGATTGAGGACAAGTCGCTGAACGCATTCATGATCTTCCCCATGATCCTGAGACCGAAGAGTCGCGGTCGCATAATGCTTAAGAGCAGCGATCCATTCAAGTATCCGCTGATTCATGCCAACTACTTCGCCCATCCCTATGACGTCGACATTTCGGTGCGTGGCCTCCTTAAGGCCATTAGTCTGATGGAGCAGCAAGGCATGAAGGCCATTAACGCCAAGCTGTGGGAACGTAAGATTCCCACATGCAAGCAGCATCCCTACAAGAGCTGGGCCTACTGGACCTGCTACGTGCGGCACTTCACTTTTACCATTTATCACTACTCTGGCACCGCCAAGATGGGACCCAAGTCAGATCGGGCGGCCGTTGTGGATGCGCGCCTGCGCGTTCATGGCATACGCAATTTGCGTGTTGCAGACGCCAGCATCATGCCCGAGATCATGTCTGGACATCCCAATGGACCGGTCTTTATGATCGCTGAGAAGGCCGCCGATATGATCAAGCAGGACTATGGCTATATCAAATAAGTGCGGGGCCTAACGTTAGCTTAGGTTTACGCTTACTTAAGGTTTAAGCAGCTCTCTACAATTCCCAACTGCAAGTGCTTTCAGCGGATATCTACTCTGGATACACATGAACGGGTCGCTGTTTAGATCTTCTTGTCAATTTATTTACCTCTATAATGAACTGATCTTAATTTAAGTTACTCTCTAAGCCAACAATAAATACTCTAAGAGACATTTAAAATGATTTACTGGTTTTTAGACCGCTCGACTCGTCTACTCTCCTCTCCACTTTCCAGCGAAGATTTTTTAACAGTGATAAACATTTCGACTTTGGGGCTTGGGAGCATGCCGGTACTGGTTTTGACTTTGACATTGACATTGACATTGGCGTTTCATTTCCACTTCATTATTACTCAGCTCAAGCTGGAGTTTTATTTGTAGCTCATGAATATAAATTATTTTAATAGATATATAAAATACGTATAGAGATATATAGATATGTATGTAGAGAAATATCACAAATATCTGTATCTGTATCTGTATCTGTATCTGTATCTGTATCTGTATCTGTATCTGTATCTGTATCTGTATCTGTATCTGTA